ACGCCAGTCCAATGTATAGAGTTTATTGGAGCTGTTCTTGACTCCATGCAGCCCAAGACCTTCCTTCCGGAAGTGCATTTCCAGGACATGTTGGACCTGATCTCCCACATAAAGAGCCATCCAAGACTATGCTTGCAACTGATGGGGCTACATGGCCACGTGCACGTACGTAGTCAGCCATGCCCGACTTTATCTGCAGTCTCTGCCGGTGTGGCTGGCCTCAGTTTATGTCCCCAGCAGACATGACCTGGACTGAGTGGTCATGGTGCCGAGCCACATCCTCTCGTACCTGGACTGGTGGCTGGTCAGTGCTGCAAGGAGTTCCCTTTGCGATCCTGTCTTGGACGTGTCAGATCTGGGCTGGGGAGCCCACCTGGGAGGGCTCAACACCCAGGGCCTTTGGCTACAAAATGATCTAGCACTGCATATCAATTTCAGGGAGCTCAGAGTGGTTCGCCTGGCCTACCAGGTGTTCTTGCCCCACCTGAAAGGCAAGGTTGTGCACTTCCTGATGGACAATACAGTTGCGATGTATTACATCAATAGGCAGGGCAGCACCAGGTCTTGGACCCTTTGTCAGGCACTCAGCCTCTGGGACTTTTGTGTGCGGCATGCCATTCATCTGGTAGCCACTCATCTACCTGGAACCAAGAACATCCTTGCAGATTGCCTCAGCATGACCTTCTCATCTTGCCACAAATGGTCACTTCATCCGGAGGTGCTCAGCCTAATCTTCCGCAGGTGGGGGACTCCCCAGGTGGACCTGTTTGCGTCCAGACAGAACACAAAGTGCCACGTGTTCTGTCTCTGCAGGGCAGTGACAGGGGCTCCGTGTCGGATGCCTTTCTGCTTCCGTGGTCAGGAATGCTGATGTACACCTTCCCGCCAGTGCTATTGGTCCACAGGGTCCTGCTAAAGGTGAAACAGGACAAAGCTTCCATTATCCTCATAGCCCCAACGTGGCCTCGTCAACACCAGTTTGGCATGCTGCTGAGTTTTTCGACAGCCACCCCTCTGCAGCTACCTCTTTGCCCTGGTTCTGGGACAGGAGATCCGGCCAATCTGCTGCATCCGAACCTGGCGACGCTGCACTTGACAGTTTGGCTGCTGCATGGTTAAGTGTGGACGAATGGATGTGCTCTGCTGGTGTCCAACAGGTCCTGCTGGACAGCAGGAAACCCTCCACCAGGGCTACTTGCGTAGTGAAGTGGAAGAGGTTCATGTGTTGATCCGAGGCCCAACACATTCGTGCGGAAGAGGCACTGCTGCAGAACATCCTGGACTATTTTGCTGCACCTTAAACTCCAGGTCCTGTCACTACCTTTTGGTCAAGATACACCTGGCGGCCATTTTGGCGTTCCACCCTCCATCTCAAGGCAGGTTGGTCTTTGCCCATCCCATGATGGCATGGTTTCTGAAAGGTCTGGAGTGCCTTTACCCGCATGTCCGGGACCCAGTCCCCTGCTTGGGACCTGGATTTTGTGCTGGCAAGGCTCATGGGTCCCCCCTTCGAACCCTTGGCTTCGTGCTCCTTCCTGGTCACTATAACCCCAGCTCATAGGGTGTGCGAGATCAGGACACTCACATTGGAGCTGCCTTATAGGGTCTTCTATAAGGACAAGGTCCAGCTGCATCTGCACCTGGCTTTTCTGCCCAAGGTCGTCTCCCAGTTTCATATTGGTCAAGACATATACTTATCAGTCCTTTGTCCAAAGCCTCATGCAACGAATGAGGAATGCAGGGTGCATACCCTGGACATCAGATGGGTGCTGGCTTTCAATAGGTAGAACAAAGCCATTCCGTAAGTCAACGCAGTTGTTTGTTGCAGTTGCAGACAGGATGAAGGGTTGTCTAGTGTCTGCCCAGAGAATCTCGTCTTGGATCACAGCCTGCATCTGCTACTGTTATGAGCTGGCAAAGGTACCTCTGCCAGCGATCGTGACAGCTCATTCAATTAGGGCACAGGCATCTTTGGCAGCCTTCCTGGCGCAGGTGCCGATCCAAGAAATCTGTTGGGCTGCCACCTGGTCATCCACCCACATATTCGCATCGCACTACACGCTGACCCAGTAAGCTCGAGACGACGCTGGCTTTGGCAGAGCAGTGCTGCAAGCTGCAGGACTGTGAACGTCTAGCCCACCTCCGTGGATGCTGCTTGTGAGTCGCCTAGAGTAGAATCGACATGAGCAAGCACTCAATAAGAAATGGTTACCTACCTTTCGTAACTGTTGTTCGTAGAGATGTTGCTCATGTCCATTCCAATACCTGTCCCCCTGCCCCTCTGTCAGAGTTGTTGGCAAGATGGAACTGAGAGGGCATAGAGCTGGCGGCGCCTGATATACTGTGGCATGAGCGTGGCACTCCAGCATGCACCACAGCCGACCCTATGGCTACTGCTAAGGCAAAAATCTCTTGACGATTGCACACGTGGGCACATGCACGCCTAGAATGGAATGTACATGAGCAACACATCTTGAACTACAATTACGAAAGATAAGTAGCCGTTTTTATCAAGTTCTCCTTTCAGAATATGATTATATTAACTGGCAAATGGTGTCATTTACTGGATAGTTCCAGTAGAATCAAAAGAGGCAGTGAGATCTTTGATCACAGGTCAGCTTGCCACATAGACCTCTCTGCATACTACTATTGATGCATCTATTCACATCCTTCACCAGGTTCTCCCAGTCACAGCAGCTCAGGAGAGAACAAGAGGCTTATCAGATACTGTGGACTAGATTGATGGCAACAGCAGTTACCATGCATCTTGTATCCTAGCTGCAATCATCTGGAATTCTCAGAGAAGTCCAGAATATAGTCGAGGAACTCCCCTTTGAAGGGAGTGAACTTTGTAGTGCTAAACTGATTATACACTACATTCTTTAAAAGATTCTCGAGTTACATTGAGGTATTTGGGAATTGAACGCTCCTTAGCTTAGAAGAAAACAACCTGTAGACATCAAATGTATTCCAGATAACCTTCTGTGTTTTCATACCACCAGCCTTATCAAAGGCCAGCTGAACCACCCAGAAAGAGGTAGTAAGAGACCTTCTTCCACTATGACTGCAAGCACTATAAGGCTGTTTGTCTTCCAAACAGTTTGACAGTCACTTTGAGAGCTGTCAGAAACCACTCAGAGTAGATATACCTGTTCCCTACCCCATTTGGGAATTGAAAATAAAACAAATTACCACAAACCAATGGATCCCATAGATGATATAAAAAGGTTACTTCATGCAGTTCCAGGATCTTCCTACCCCACCATCACCTTCCCTGTTCCTTTTCAGAGACTCCTCCCAAGAGAGACTATTACATGAAGAGGTGCAATTCCTTTTATCTCCTCTATTTCTCTGAAACGTTCCTCTTCAATTCATGGGAGAAGTTTTTGTTCCTGTTGCTGTCTAATTCTCAAGATTGACATCTCATTCTGGACTTGAGAGATCTGAACACCTTTGTTTGCCAGTTCACACTGAGAGTGGTGACCCTGGCTTCAATAATTCCTAAATTGGATACTCTAGACTGGTGTGCCATTCTGTATCTGGAAGATGCATATTTCCATCCATCCAGCGCACAGGTTCATAGGTGGGAAGACGGACATACTGCCAGTACATATGGTTGCCGTTCAGCTTGTCAACAGCCCCAAGAATATTTATAAAATGCCTGGCTGCAGTAGCAGCACACCTAAGGAGGCAGGGGATTTTAGAATACATATACCTGGGCAACTGGCTGATTCAGGGAAGTTTTCCTCAGCAAATCACAAACAGCATACATCGCATTCTACAGCAGTTCTCTATTTTGGGGCTCAATGTCAACAAAGACAAATCCTCTTTAAATTCCATTTTTTTGAGTCAGTTATAGACTCCAGCACAATGAAGGCATATCTGCCATGAAGCAGATTTGACAATATATTTCTCCTCATAAATCAACTACAGACAAGCCCTTGGACACCAGTAAAAAAGTGTACAATTGCTAGGTCATATGGCTTTGTACACATTTGTGACTCAATTTGCTGGAATTTGCTTTTGTTGTTTGTTAGGATGGTTCTTACCACACAATAAACATCATCTAGACATAGTGGTTCAGATTCCCCCAAACAGCCTGTTTTCCTTAAATGGTAGAAGAACACATATCAAATCTGCAAGAGTGTTCCTTTTTCTTCACTGCTCCATACCAAGGTTCTAGTGATGGATGCTTCCATTTTGGGATGGAAAGAATCATCTGGACACACGTGGAGCTTGGGGCATGTAGTCGCAAGAAGAGTCTCACTTATACATCAACATATTGGAGCTCAGAGTGATCCAAATAGCTTGTGCTACATTTGTTCCTTACATCCAGGCAAAGAGCATCTGATTAATGACTTAACAATTCCACAGCTATGTTATAAAAAGGGAGGAGCCAGATCTACTCCTCTGTGCCAGGAAGATATCATCCTGTGGACCTGGTGCATAAGCAATCAGGTAACGTTTTCAGCCTTTCATCTGCCATGGTGTGACACTATGGGGTTCACCCAGGCCAGGAAGGGGTTCAGTCAACAATTGCCTTGCAACTATGGGCATTTCAAATGCTATGCTGCTGTGGCTCACAGCCCTGGCGTCAACAGCCAGCAGAAGAGCATGAGGATCTCATCTTGGCTTCCACCACTGAGTTACTCTTTGCAGGGGGACCTCAACAACCCTTCCAGCCCAGAGTTCTCCACAAAAGCGTTTCTCTGCCATGCTCAGCCACTCTCACTGTAACCCTCACAAAACCTTTATTTGGGTGCTCCTTTAAAGAGACAGTACACAGCAGCCTGTTAACTGGGGTTAATATAATCTTGCTGTTATGTTAAGAGATTGTGAGCATGAAGATGGTTAAGCCCTTCGCAATTTTGAAACTATGAATAAAAAAGAGGGGTGGTGTTGACTTCTGAACTTGTCATTACCTCCCAGCCCTAAAACCCCACTCAGATTAAATGTATTTAAACCACTTCAGTGTGTTGACTTGTTGTTTTTATTCACAGTAACAAAGGTATGGAGCACCTTCTGAGCATGAAGTGTAAAAATGTGGTCCCAGTCTATGACTTGTTGCTGGAAATGTTGAATGCACACGCGCTTCGAGGCCAAAGAAAGTCTGCAGTCACAGATTCTGAATTTGGCCCATCAGAACAAACTGATACTAGAGATGATGCGTGGAATATGGCAGCACAGTAACTTTATAATTACCTGGAAGATCAGGTTTGTAGGAAACTGTGAAGCAAAACAACATTATTTAGAGCTGTCGAAAACTTGATATGTCTCATGAATCTTAGACAACCTTTTTGGGGCCCTATTCTAATCTTTGCATGTTTATCTCGGATAAGGCTGTATATCGCCTCCTGTATTGTGTGAAGCACATCTTGTCCATGTTTCTGACATAATACTTAGCACTTACACTAATGCTTTCTGTCTGAGACTTATGAACACAATACCCTGTGAGATTGGAAATTATTATTACCCCTTTTTAAAAAATGGGTAAACTGAGGCAGAGAGAAGCTAGGTGACTAGCTTAAGAACCCACAGTGGAGAGCTGGGAATAGTGTCCTGACTCCCAGTTCTTGCTTTAACCACTGGACTATGTTTTCTTTCAATATATCAACATATGAAATGGACAGCTGTTACATCACGTGGGAGGGATTTGATTATGTGTATATGATGACGATCACTGGGGAAATGCCTACATTTCAGTTAACGTGGTTAAAGTGCCAAGACACATGTAAAATTTAAATGAGTTTATTCCTCATATGATTATGCAATGGATGCAGATGGAACACAGAAACACTTCCTCGGCCTTCATTTGAGCCACTCAGAATTGGTTCTGGGACCACTTTAAAGACAAGCTCCATAAACATAAAAACAGGTTTCTTTGTTTTGTGAGCCTACTCTTAGTGTTTGAACTGTTTCTTTGTGCATGGTACTCATCTGCTTAAAGGTTGGCTGCTTAGTCATTTTCACTTAATACTAAATTTTAAAATTTATTGTCACTGAGATTAATGTGCTGTTGTTTTGTATATTTATAATGACTTAATGTGTAGGTATGAAGGATCAAGAAATTAATTTTTATTATGTGCATTAGTAAAAATAATGTGATACAGTCCACTGAACTATTTTTTTAAATGGTTTCCTAGGCAATTTCACAATCTTCCCGTCACTTCCATCTTGAGCACAGAAGTGTCTAGCTGTATTGTCAGGTTTATGGGGTTCTGGAAATGCAGTGTACATAACTGTAGGGAGTGGTAGCATAAGTAGAGATGAGGATCAGCTGGGATCTGCTTTTACTTACATGACTCAGTTTTGCTCTCTTATTCTCAAGAGGAAGTTACATGTAACTTGCTTTGCTAGGGAAGCTCTACCCTAAGTTATGCTTTTTCAGCCCTCCTAAAAGAACCCTAAATGAGAGAGGGAAACATGCCTCTGGGCTAAATTCATGGAGGATAGGTCCATCAGTGGCTGTTAGCCAGGATGGGCAGGGACGGTGTCCCTAGCCTCTGTTTGCCAGAAGCTGGGAATGGGTGACGGGACGGATCACTTATGAAGTGCCCTGCTTCATTGTGTGGCAATTCATTATTGGCATGTCACTAAATATATAGTCACATAAAATGTCTGTCTTGTTGATTTCTGCAGCTGTCTAAGGTGCATTGAGTCTGAAAGGACATATAATATGGCCCATAGCCTCATTTGGAAAATAAGAAAATATTTTTTCTGTCATTTGCTTATGTAATATTCTGTTTCATGCTGGAATTAAATTCATTAGCCTTTGATAATAACACTGGAGATTAATGGACTTGACTAGATACTAGAGTGTTTAGTTGTATGTTATTGTCATATTAGGTATGTGACAAAACTAAATTAGAGATTAATTTGATGCCCAGCTAAGTCAGCGGGGAGGCTTTCTGGTGATTTCTATGGGATTTGGATCAGGCCCTTATGGCAGATCCGCCATACACCATATTTTTTAAGCACAAAGTCCCCCTATGCTTACTCCCCAGAATTCTGCAGAAGTTGCACTCATCTTTCCACTTCAATGAGCCTATCCATCTCCCTACCTTTTTCCATAACCACATGTAAATTCCTTTGTATCTATGATGCACACTTTAGACATGCGCAGAGCTTTGTCCTTCTACTTGGACAGGACTAAAACCTTTAGGCGTTCTGACAAGCTATTCGTCCCCATTGCAGAATGCTCTAAGGGCTCATCTGACTCTAACCACAGATTTTCCAACTGGATCTCGAGTTGCATTTGTCTCTGTTATCGATAACAGAATGTGACTCCCCTGACTTTTATCAGGACTCACTCCACCAGATCCATGGCAGCCTCAGTGGCCTTTCTACGTAATGTCCCCCTTAAGGACATTTCCAGAGCTGCCATTTGGGCTTCTGAAAATACGTTTGCAAAACATTATGCCCTTACACAGGGACCTATCACTGATACATGTGGGCAGAGCTGTTCTATCTACTGCATTCCTTCCAGATCCGAAGTCCCTACCTCCTTGAGAGATACTGCTTTTCAGTCACCTACAGTGGAGCACCCACAGGGACACCTCTTGAAGAAAAAGAAGAAGAAGAAGAGGTGGTTACTCACCTGTGCAGTAACTGACGTTCTTCGAGATGAGTGTCTCTGTGGGTGCTCCACTTCCCACCTTCCTCCCCTCTACTTTGGAGCTGGGGCGGCCTCACATGCGCATAGAGAAAGAGCTGAGGAGTTCAGCCACACATGCGCACTATTAAGACAAGACTGGTATGTGAGGCAGGCTCCGCACATGCGCGGCTGATACGGGTACTGCTGTAAAAATCTCCGAACAACGGCGCAGGGGTACACTGACACCTACAGTACACCCACAGGGACACTCATCTCGAAGAACGTCAGTTACGGCACAGGTGGGTAACCTCCTCAAGACCACAATTAATCTGAGATAACTGATAATAAATTATAGCGTTGTTGTATATTAAAAATGAGTTACCATTATGTTTTAGATAATTTTAATGTATGTATATTTGAGTAACACAAAATAGCTATTAGAAACTTATCTTTAATGCTTAGATATACTGACAAATCTAAAAAAAAAATGAAATGACAAAATATTTTTACTCATTTAACATTTTTAGCCATGTAAATAAAGGTGAATTTGTGGGCAATGTAAAAAACGCATTCCTTTTTATCAAGTTTTGCTAATAATAAATTGTAGTGATTCAGAAAGGATGCTGTAGTTCATCTCTATGCCTTTACTTCTATCTACGCACCTTAAAATTTTTTTTGCAATCTCTGTTACCAAGAATTACCTAAATTCCTAGTATGCTGTGGTCACCATCAGTTCTTGTTTTCTCAAGGCTTTTAGACTGACACATTAGCAAGATACTAATTTTTTGTGGTACTGGCTAAATAATGGATTGATTTTCATATTTTTTTGTGGTTTGCTTTCATGAAAAGCAGTTATCTCCATGAATTGTTAACACTCTACAGTTATTGTGAATTTGTACTGTTCCCATAGTTTTGTATTCTAAATTCTGTTTCACATGTGTACCTTCACTGAAAAAGTTTAAAACTCAAATGTTTTTAGAATTTGATGTCTTTTCAAATATTTTGTGAATGCCAAATCAAGTGGAAAAAATTACCTTATCTCAGCTGCTTTTTACTTCTGTAGACTTATGGTATTTTTCCAGTAATGTGTATTTCTTTGGATTGTAGGTTTTTGTGGTGAAATAAACAAGTATCATACAATGTGTAATGTATTTTTTTTTTTGGTAGTAGTAGCTGTGTAGCTGGAGGTGACTATCATTTTAAATCACAAACTTGATTTTTCCCTTATTGTTTGTTTGTCTTGACATGCCATGTCATGGATCAAATTCTCTTTAAATATTGTTTTTGACGGCAAGGATGAAGGGTGACTCTTTGGGTTAAACTGATCTTGATACAGCCTACCTCCCAGCAGCTAAAAACTCTCTCCTATCACTATTAAAAGTAGGCCCAGTAAAGTACAGAAAATTATTAGAAATAAACCATTGGTAACGTGTGATCCACATGAGAAATAGCTGATTTCCTAAGGAGTAAAATAGTTATTCCTGAAGTTGTTAGACTCTCATTTGCTTTGCTTTTCCTCATGTATCGCATCTATTTGCAAAACTTATAATTCTTTATCTTAAAAAATTCTTCTTTCTACAGCCCAGCCCAGCCCTAGGAAGTAACCCTGCAGTGAAAAAGCAGAGGCCAGACTTCACTGTCAAACCATGAAAGGGTTTTTGTAATGAACTGTGAGTAAAAATAATTTTGAAAAAGTCTGAAAGATAGCTTGGTAAGGTTCTTTTCCAACTTACTTTTTTGGGACATTTTGAGATATGGTAAAAGCTCCTTGTATATTCTATATCACATCACCTTGGCAATGTGATAGAATTATACGTAATGAAGGTAAATTGTAGGCTATGAAATTTTCCTTAGACCTTTCATTTTCTTCAAATTTTCTCTGACAAAAGTTGCTTAACAGCATCCGTACTGAATATTGTAGTCAGCAATTTAAAATCCGTAATTAGCAGAAAGCTTTAGATGGGCATTTATGACAAAGAATGCCTGGATTTGATAAAGGTGTAAAGAACTAAAAATACAGACGCTTTAGACAAGATAAAAGTAATCTGTTTCAAAATGAAATAAGTATAGTATAATGTGGGGAAGAGAGGGATGGGGAAAGAGGTGATAAAATCACTCTTCCTTTCTTTCTTACCCACTGATGCAGTATTGCTGTAAAATTGGTTTGAATCATGTGGACTACTCTCAAGCCTGGATCAGCAAAAACATTAAACGTAAAGAAATACAAAAATGCAAGATATATGCAAAAGTCAGAAAAGCCAATTGATTATTCTCAGAAAGACACTAATGCTTAGGGCACTGCTTACTGCACTAATATGCCTCATCTTGGGGACTAAGGGTATGTCTACAGTATGTAATTAGGTCAAATTTATAGAAGTCGGTTTTGTAGAAAGCGTTTTTATACAGTCAGAGCATTTGTGTAGGGACACACACAATTAAGTGCATTTAGTTGGCGGAGTGCGTCCACAATACCGCGGCAACCATCGACTACCAGAGTGTTGCACTGGTAGCTATCCCACAGTTCCTGCACTCTCTGCTGCCCATTTGAATTCTGGGTAGAAATCCCAATGCCTGATGGGGCAAAAACATTGTCGTGGGTGGTTCTGGGTACATATTGTCAGACAATGGTTTTGCTCCTTCTTTCCTGGTTATCCGTGCAGACGCCATACCACAGCAAGCATGGAGCCTGTTCAGTTCACCGTCACCGTATGTCTTCTGGGTGCTGGCAGATGTGGTGCTGTATTGCTACACAGCAGCAGCTCATTGCCTTTTGGCAGCAGACAGTGCAGTATGATTGGTAGCCATCATCACCGTATTCCAGCGTGCTCTTTTAGCTGACCTCAGTGAGGTTGTCAGGAGTGCCTGGGCAGACATGGGAGTGACTCAGCCAGGTCATTTCCCTTTTAAGTTTCGTCTCATGGCGATTCAGTCCTGCCGGCAGTTGTACTGCACCGTCTTCTGCCGAGCACCCAGGAGATGATGATGGCGAGCAGTCGTACTGCACCATCTGCTGACTCTGGGAAATGTGCAGGTCATGGTGGATGGCTTTGCTGCAATGGGATTCCCTAACTGTGGTGGGGCGATAGATGGAACCCATATCCCTATCTTGGCACCGGAGCACCAAGGCAGCGAGTACATAAACCGAAAGGGGTACTTTTCAATGGTGCTATAAGCACTGGTGGATCACAAGGGACATTTCACCAGCGTCAACGTGGGATGGTTGGGAAAGGTACATGACGCTCGCATCTTCAGGAACTCTGGTCTGTTTCAACAGCTGCAGTAAGGGACTTACTTTCCAGACCAGAAAATAACTGTTGAGGATGTTGAAATTCTTGGGGACACAGCCTACCCCTTAATGCCATAGCTCATGAAGCCATACACAGGCAGCCTGGACAGTAGTCAGGAGCTGTTCAACTACAGGCTGAGCAAGTGCAGAATGGTGGTAGAATGTGCATTTGGATGTTTAAAAGCACGCTGGCGCAGTTTACTGACTCGGTTAGACCTCAGCAAAACCAATATTCCCATTGTTATTACTGCTTGCTGTGCGCGCCATGATATCTATGAGAGTAAGGGGGAGATGTTTATGGCGGGGTGGGAGGTTGAGGCAAATCGTCTGGCTGCTGATTACGCGCAGCCAGACACCAGGGTGGTTAGAAGAGTACAGGAGGGCGTGGTGTGCATCAGAGAAGCTTTGAAAACCAGTTTCAGGACTGGCCAGGCTACGGGGTGTGAAAGTTTTTTGTTTCTCCTTGCTGGAAACCCGCCCCAGGGTTCGCTCTACTTTCCTGTAAGCTAAGCACCCTCCCCTTCCCCCTTCGATCACCACTTGTAGAGGCAATAAAGTCATTGTTGCTACACATTCATGCATTCTTTATTCATCACACAAATAGGGGGGTAACTGCCAAGGTAGCCCTGGAGGGGTGGTGGAGGAGGGAAGCATGGAGTGGGGTAGTGGAGGAGGGAAGGATAAGGCCACACAGCACTTTAAAACTTATTGAATGTCAGCCTTCTGTTGCTTGGGCAATCCTCTGGGGTGGAGTGGCTGGGTGGCCGGAGGCCCCCACAACCACATTCTTGGGCATCTGGGTGAGGAGGCTATGGAACTTGGGGAGGAGGGTGGTTGGTTACACAGGGGCTGTAGCGGCGGTCTGTGGGCCTGCTGCCTTTCCTGCAGCTCAACCATATGCTGGAGCATATGAGTTTGATCCTCCAGCAGCCTGAGTATTGACTCCTGCCTTCTTTCAGCAAGCTGATGCTACCTCCCATCTTCGGCCTGCCACCTCTGCTCATGCTCATATTGTGTTTTCCTGCACTCTGAGATTGTCTGCCTCCACATATTTTGCTGTGCTCTGTCAGCCTCAGGTCAAAGAACATTTCATCCCGAATGCATTTTCGCCTTTTAATCTTCACTAGCCTCTGGGAAGGAGAAACATATTCAGCTGGTGGAGGAAAAAACAGGGAGTGTGGTAGTTAAAAAGACATTTTATAGAACAACGTGGGTACACTCTTCCATGGTAAACCTTGCTGTTAATGTTACATAGCACATGTGCTTTCATTACAAGGTTGCATTTTGCCTCTTTTATTGAGAGTATGCTGGTTTGGTATGAGAGATCACTCCCACAGGGCCGGGCAGCAGAATTCAGCTTGCAGGCAGCCATGGTAAGCCACAGTCGTTTGGCTTCTTTAACCTTCATAACATGTGGGAATGGTTTTAAACAGCAGCGCCCTCATTTCCTATACAAAGTAGCTGTTGGGTTGGCCATTTAAAATGGGTTGGCAGTTTTAAAAGGAGGAGCTAAGGTTTCTGGGTTCACTTGCAGCAGAAACCAATTAACCTTCCCCCCCACCATGCCCAATTTTTTGGGATGATGGCTTCACCCCTCCCCCCACCCCGCTAACAGCAGGGAAGATTTCTGTTCAGCGACAGGCAAACAGCCCAGCAGGAATGGGCACCTCTGAATATCCGCTTACTAAAACCACCCTATTTCAACCAGGTGACCATGAATGATATCACTCTCCTGAGGGTAACACAGAGCGATAAAGAACGGATGTTGTTTGAATGCCAGCAAACACCGGGACCATACGTTACAATGATTCCTGACTACGTGCTCCTGGCCTGGCGTGGTAAAGTGTCCTACCATGGAGAACGAATAAGGCTGCCCTCCCCATTTGCAAAGGCTTTGGGAGTACATCCAGGAGAGCTTTATGGAGACGTCCCTGGAGGTTTTCCGCTCCATCCCCAGACACGTTAACAGACTTTTCCAGTAGCTGTGCTGGCCGCGAATGCCAGGGCAAATTAATCATTAAACATGCTTGCTTTTAAACCATGTATAATAACTACAAAGGTGCACTCACCAGAGGTCCCTTCTCCGCCTTCAGGGTCTGGGAGCCCGCCTTGAGTGGGTTTGGGGGGATACTGGGGCCACCTCCATGGTGATAAACAGATCCTGACTGTTGGGAAAACCGGTTTCTCCGCTTCCTTGCTGTGAGCTGCCTACAACCTCCTCCTCCTCATCTTCCTTGCCCCCAAAACCTGCTTCTGTGTTGCCTCGCACTCCTTGGATGGAGTCAAAGCAGAGGGTTGGGGTAGTGGTGGCTGCACCCCTAGAATGGCATGCAGCTCATCATAGAAGTGGCATGTCTGGGGCTCTGAACAGGAGCAGCTGTTTGCCTCTCTGGTTTTTTGGTAGGCTTGCCTGAGCTTAATTTTCACGCGGCACTGCTGCGGATCCCTGTTGTAGCCTCTGTCCTTCATGCCATTGGAGATTTTTTCCAAATATTTTGGCATTTCATCTTTTCGAACAGAGTGCTGCCAGCACGGATTCATCTCCCCATATAGTGATCAGATCCCATACCTCCCGTTAGGTCCATGCTGGAGCTCTTCGGCGATTCTGGGACTGCATGGTCTCCTGTGCTGATGGGCTCTGCATGGTGACCTGTGCAGGTGATTTTGCCACGCTGGACAAACAGGAAATGAGATTCAAAAGTTTGTGGGCCTTTTCCTGTCTACCTGGCCAGTGCATCTGAGTTGAGAGCGCTGTCCAGAGCGGTCACAACTGAGCACTCTGGGATAGCTCCTGGAGGCCAATACCGTTGAATTGCGTCTCCAGTACCCCAAATCCGACCCGGCAACGCCCATTTCAGCACTAATCCCCTCGTCGGGGGTGGAGTAAAGAAATCGATTTAAAGAGCCCTTTAAGTTGGAAAAAAAGGGCTTCGTCGTGTGGATGGGTGCAGGGTTAAATCGAGAGAACGCTGCTAAATTCGACCTAAAGAATTTGGCGTGGCTAGTAGGAGACCTCTGTGACAAGGAAGGGAGGACTTCTGGTTGGCGAGAAGCAGGTCAGTTTGGACTCTGCTTCTTTACACTTGGAATCTCTCCTCCTCATTCTGTGCTTTCACTATGCTGGTGCCACTCCCTGCTAGTAGTTCCTGGGAACAAGCTAGAGCGGGGGCTCTAGTTCACATTTGCTGTACCGGCCTGGGCCATAATCTATTTACATTCACTGCAGGGAGACTTTAAAGGACTCTCTCTCTTTCCAAAGGTGCAAACATAAAACAAATTGTTTTCACAAACCTGTGTGAAGGGGGATGGGGAGTGTAGCTGTGGATATCATGAGCAGCAGGAGAGTTACAAGTATGCCAAAGCAGGCAAATGTGGGTGTGGATAGGAAAGATACAAAGTTTGGTATTTTGTGCATTTCTGTAAAACTGCTTTTAAAATATTTTTTTCCTCCCCGCCTCAAAAAGGTACTGGTGTTAGACCCCCCAGGTTGGTTGTTTGTTCATGTGTCCCATAGCGCAGCCAAGAATGCAGATTATTAGCACTGCAGCAAGGGCTTTTTGCCATCTGGATGGAGTCCCCTTGCTGTACACTTCCCTTCCTTAAGAGTGAGCTATAATGGGGAAGGTCATAGAAATTGCTTTGTGGTTGTGAAGGTATTTCAAGACAATGGTCTCAAGGAGGGAGGGCATTAAATTGTTGAATTTACTCTTCTTGTAGGGGTGAGTGGGGGTTGGGAGAAGATGGTTGGGGAAAGAAAATGAGCTATGGCAAATAACCTATTTCTGATTTTTCTTGTAAGGAAAAAAGTGGACCAGTTATGGAGTGGACTAGTTACCTTCTTTGCAAATTGCTGCACCACATTTAGTTTCTAAAGCATTTTGGATTGACTCAGCTGTATTCAATCCATGAAGCATTTTGCTTTACATGTTCATTTACAAGCATCAAGTCCAGTAGATAAAGGATTCAGTCATTGCAACTATCAGCAGAATTTTAATGAGAAAAATGTTTGAACTGTACCTCCACCAAACATCGTTATTCTAATAAAACTTTTTCTCATATCATCACCTGAAGTTTTAGCTTCACTTTAAATGTGAAAAGTCTTAAAGTTAACTTATAAAAATCTCTTTTGGCATACTGTACATTATTCAGAAGATTATTAAACCAAAAATCTTTGATTAAAAAGTCAGCTTACATATGTATACATATAGTGTATAATCTACATCATAATTATTTTCATTTAGAAAATATGCACAATATAAAACCACTTCCATGCAATATCAATTCTTATTTAAAACATAGTATAAAAAACGACACATCCAACTACAACACAGCAGTCCTAAGCACTGAACACTTTGCACATAAAATATGTATAATTTTCACTGAAAGTGTTGTATGAAAAGTACAATATAACAAAAATATTAGATTTAAATCTGTTTCAGTTTACTACAGTACCCAAAGATGCAAACTGTTGCCAATGATATGTGCATGCACTTAAGATTGCTATTGTCATATTAAACCATGACAGAGACCATTAGTGTTTAATATTACATTACCATAGTGTCTGTAACTAATGTCCCATTATTCGTCTGTCAACCTGTTCTGTGGACCTTCCAAGTTATGAGGACTGTATTTATAAAATGCTTGTATCTAGTGCATCAAAGTATGTTGCTTAGAGTTTAAAAAATGTATAGAAAATTCATTTTCTGTACGAACAATGCTGTGTTACTCACTGAAATTCTGAAAAGATCTTGTGAGGTTTAATATGTTCCCTTCCCTGCTATGCATTGGAAGGAGGCCATTTAAATAATGCCTCACTTATATTTCAGTGGTAGTACTGTGTGCATTTCTTGCTGTGGGACCCAGGAAACAGGTGCATTAGTGGCTAGTGTCAGGAAAGCATAGCAGAGAGGGTCAAAATGTGAAACACTATGGAACTTTCTATATTTAAGTACATGAATGCACTGTTTGATAGAAGCAGCATGAAAATAAGCACCCATGAGAAAACGTGTTTTGGTATATTGTAGAGTCATGGGACGCTTTCTAGGTTGGTGGAGGTCCATTGGTATATCTCAGCATGGGATAGAAAGAGCGGGCAAAGTTGTTCACTTGTGTGCAGCTGTAGTCTTCCTCTGAGGATGGGATCATGCAGGCCAGAAGCAAAAGCAAAAGGAGGAGGAACTGCAGAGGTAAAGCGGCTCTTAATACACGATAAAAGAAGGATTGGGGGCTGGAAGTTGCTTGAGTGGTTTCAGGCTGGTCTCCCATTCTGTAAAGAAAGGATATCGGATATTTTGATAGGGGGAAATGTTAAAAACAAGGTAATTAGCATGTTGCGCACACATTGTCACGCATGCCCTCTACCTTAACCCTCTCCTCCCCCATTTTAAGGAGGCAACCTTCACTTATTGGAACAGAGACTGCTTTAGATATGAAACACACTTAAATCTAGTTTAAAAAAAGTGGGAAGAACATCTACTACGTATTACCACTAATAACAAAGTCTAATACATAAGGAAAATCCCCCAAAAGAGTTTAATGTAATTTATTTAGCCTTTAGGAGAGGGGCGGGCAAAATACGGCCTGTGGACCACATCTGGCCCACCAACCCATTTAATCCGGCCCTCAAGCGCCTGCTTGGGAGCAGGGTCGGGGGCTGCTCTATGCACGCGTGCCACAACTCCCGGAAGCAGTAAGATGTCCCCCCTCCGGCTCCTACATTTAGAGTCATCCAGGGTGGCTCCCGGTGGTGGGGATCTGTGGCCTATTGGAGCTGCGGGGGCCTGGGAGGGGACATGCTGCTGCTTCTGGAGCTGCGTGAGGTAAGCGCTGCCCAGAGCCTGCACCCCCTCCCGCCCTCCAAACCCCTCGAGCCCAGCTCAGAGCACCCTCCTGTACCTCAAACCCTCATCCCCAGCTGGAGCCCAGAGCCCCCTCCCGAACCCCTAAACTCTTCAGTTCTGGTCCCAGTCCAGAGCCTGCACCCCAACCCTAATTTCATGAGCATTCATGGCTCGCCATACAATTTCTATATCCAGATGTGGCCCTCAGGCTAAAAAGTTTGCCCACCCCTGCTTTAGGAATAAGCACTATGTGTTAATAGGTTTGGGTAACAGGCTGCATTTTGCATAGGGTTATTGGAGGCAGTTTTTAAACAGTATCTTAATTTTCAAGAGCCTAATGTATCTGCATGGGCTCTCTCCCTGATAGAAGGCTAGGCCTCACATTGTGAAATTTTCTGACCCTATACCACAGGATGTATCTTTAACCCATTTACCCGTAACCCGTCACCCACACTTGGCTGCAGTGGTGTCTGATTTGTCCAGCCCTGCAAAAGCTGTACTCCCTGCAGGTGCATGGGGTGTGAGAATATGCCATTGCTTCAGGAATCAGAAAAGAAAAATTAACACTGCAGCTCTTTGCCTCTGCCAATTGTAAAGGGGCCAACCTCCAAAAGGGCACACTGGAGAAAAGTTCCCATAAAAGTGCAACACTACAGTAAAACACAGGGTTTGTAGGGGCTAAGCAGGGGGTTCTCAAACTGGGGGTCAGGACTCCTCAGGAGGTCACGAGGTTATTACATGGGGGGGGTTGCGAGCTGTCAAATTCCACCCCAAGCCCTGCTTTGCCTCCAGCATTTATAATGGTGTTAAATATATTAAAAAAGTGTTTTTAATTTATAAGGAGGGTTGCACTCAGAGACTTGCTATGTGAAAGGGGTCACCAGTAAAAAAAGTTTGAGAGCCACTGGGCTAAGCAGACACAAAGGAAGGTGCTACTTCTATGTACCACCACTGTATCCTCATGTTGGTATCTGGGGGAAACAGTGAAGTCAGCCATGAATCCAGATACATTGCCTCCATAATGTGTACAGACCCATTAGGAGCAGGGTCTCCCCACATTTGTTTGCCATTTGGCGTACAACACACTGGCACCAAGCCATCAGGCTTGCCTACTCTCTTTATTTTAAAACGTACTCTACATTTCTACCAAAAATCGCATGCTACCTGACACTGCTGCTCTTGCCTTCCGAAGTTCTCCTTACACCACCAACCTGTTAAGATAAACATTTATTATTACCCACCTCTAGGACATTAAAATGTAAACTTTTTCATAACTAAAATGAGCCAGTTTCAAAACGTTTGAGGCTAAAGTACAGATTCAATTCAAGGGAAGGTGGGATGAAAAGACAGCAAAAATCTTAGAAAAACAGGCATTTAATTTAAAAAGTTCTTGCCATTTCATGTGGGCTGGATTTCGCTACTAGTGGATGATAACTTCCAGAATCCAAGTCATCTGCTGCTGGCAGAAATGCACTGATGTCCTAAAAAAACAAACCACACACCCCTAAAATGTGTATACATAAAAACTGTAAAATGCTGTATATGTCTATCTTTAAAAAATTATCCACGTGTATATATGGATGGCAGCCAGCTTGTGAAGAACAAACAGTTCCACCGCTAAGCACCCATGGATTAGGATTCTTGTTTTATCCTGTGCAGTTTTCAGAAACAGCTTTGGAAGGAACAGAAAGCATGAGCGGCAGATATGTGCTGACATATTAGCTTGAAAACAGTAAGCCAAACTGGTCTAATTCAAGCTCCCACTGAGGCATAAGGCAGGGTATATCTAATACTGATTGATGGACATACAACATGTAGGGGTTATGTACACACACACGTCATATTTCTTGTCCCAATAATTGCTCATATTTGATAAGGCAATAAGGAGCTCTAAATACATACAAGTTTTAAACCAGCCTGATTTTCTTTTAGAGTTTCTACTCTTGATTTTTTTACATTTTGGGCTGGTTTTGCAGCACTGGTTCTTGTATCCTTTATTATCATAGCACTTGTTAATAACCAAGTTTAAAAATCATACCCCTGACTCACCATGTTTCCTTGTGAAGTTTTTAAGTCATGTGAAACCTGTTCAAGAAGCCTTTTCAGTTTCTTTCCAATTACGTGTATTTTCTCATCAGCTTCAATATAATCTTCTGCATCTGATTTAACTAGAAGGTAGGTGGAGATTTCCTGTAGAGCATTTACTTGTAGCTGTTCTTCCAGCAGCTCTTTCTCCAGTTGCTTAAAAAGGAAATGGTTTGAAATATAACAGTCAGTGTAACTAATCGCTCTAAACTTGTGGGAGGGTTATAATTTCATAACAAGATGAACTAATTTTATTTCTACAACAGTGCCAGTGAATAATGCAGCATGACTGATGATCCAAAAGGAACAATTCACAGAGGGTGTTGCAGACTAGGATTTAGGTATAATTGCAGGGTTTTGTGGGAAAGATTATTCATAACCTGGTCATACTTCAGCACAAACTGGTGCACTTAATCCGGATCTTCGTGAGTACTTAATCTGTTCACAAACAGTACCTCTATCATATTTAGCTTCAGCTAGATTTATTAGTCAACCAATTCCTAAAGCCACAAATCTATTCATGTATAAATGAAGTATCCCCAAACTGTACCTGTTTCCTTTCAAACAACCATTTTTTAGAAATAACTACATTACTTTTTATTTTTGTGGAAATAACTTGCATGTTAGTCTCGTACCTTGATTCGATAACCAACCCATAACATACCATTAATTCTTTTTGGCACTCCAGTATTGTATGGGGGTCAGCATTTGGATCAGTGAATTGTGCATTATGTCTTAGACTTTCAGCACTTGCTAGTCCCAAGAGTAGTTTCTGACTCAGTTCATGGAAATCCTGAAGAAACAAGTAAAGGTTTACAAGAATGTGTGCCTGGAGTATTGTAATAAAATCAGCCAAACACTCTTGCTCTGTTGTTATGCAATGAAACAGTTGATCAAGTATTTTTACTTAGGTTTGTTGAGGGTTACTCAAAAAGATGACTGGTCTTCCTGTGCTAAAACTACATGTAACAGCTCAGACTAGTGGTCCCAACTCTATCAGCTCCTTCTGTGGCTTTAAGCAAGTGATTTAACATCTCTTCTTCAATTGCGCCATGTCATCTATAAAACATGGGAAATAAGGTAGAGCTACTTCTCAGGCATGTTGTGTGGATTGCTTGCAAATTGTTTTAAACATGATAAGCCTTCAAATATGATAAGGGCTGTTATAGAGAGGGTGGTGATCAATTGTTCTCCACTGAAGGTAGGATAAGTAACCTGATTAATCTGCTGCAAGGGAGAACTAGGTTAAACATTAGAAAAAAACTGTCTAACTATAAGAACAGTTCAGTTCAGGGACAGGCTTCCAAAGGAGGTTGTGGAATCCCTCTCATTGACTAAGACTCTAGGTTTACTTGGTTCTGCCTCACCGTGCTGGGGGAGATCAGATGACCTCTCAAGTCCCTTCCAGCCATACATTTCTAAGATTCTATGAAAAACAGTGTAAGTGCTATTTACCACTAGTGTGGCTATCCTGTGCATAAAAAAGGGCATACATTCAAAGAAATCTATAATCTGAGTAAAAATTCCAAGGAACTGCTGATATTCCTGCAACTGCCATACTGTGTCCTCTAATCTACTTAATCAGCTCATTACAAATAAACTCTCATTCAAAGTGTGACAAGACAAATGTTTGCTTTATTTACCTGGCACTGCATTAGGGTTTGTTGTAAACCCCTTCTCCAGTTGTCCATTGAATGACATACTTTCTCCCAGCGCAAATTCACTTGTCGAAGTCTGTTTTGAAGCTCTTTTGATTCAGTGCTATCCGTTTGCTGGAAGTCTTTGCTGCTCTGATTAACGGAGAACACTAAAGCCTTGTAGTTATCAAAAGCTTTAAGCATGTCCTGAAGAAAGAAGCAGATTAGAACCCTCAGTGAATTATCAATACCTTTTATAACAATCCTCCACAAACTAAGAAATCACAAATATTTCAGGGAGTTACTAGATCTGAAAAAGCATTTTCCAGATATTTCTAGGGAAGACTTTAAGGCAGAATGTCTCAGTTTCTTGAAGTTGAATACCCACTGGCAATTGCAGGAGCAATAATGTAATTACATAAGGTAGAATTTTGCAATGACCTGGATGTTAAAAATTCTACATTCTGTTAGAAGCTTGATAGTATTTACAAGTTTTCAGGACCTTGATTTTACAGTTATTAAATGACTCTGTTCACTGCCTGGACAGAACAAAGGTGATGGCAATGGCTCCTGTCCCAAGAAGTTTATAGTCTAAATCAGGGGTCAGCAACCTTTCAGAAGTGGTGGGCCGAGTCTTCATTTATTCACTCTAATTGAAGGTTTCACGTGCCAGTAAAACATTTTAATGTTTTTAGAAGGTCTCTTTCTATAAGTCTATAATATATAACTAAACTATTGTTGTATGTAAAGTAAATAAGGTTTTTAAAATGTTTAAGAAGCTTCATTTAAAATTAAATTAAAATGCAGAGCCCCCCAGACCGGTGGCCAGGACCCGGGCAGTGAGAATGCCACTGAAAATCAGCTCGCATGCCACCTTTGGCACACATGCGATAGGTTGCCTACCCCGGTCGAAATTATATCTCATCCAAAAAAAAAAAAAGAACACCTCCAGTAACATAGTACCCCTTAACATCAGGTTGAAGTCAAGGGTCCAGCACTGCCTTACAGGGAGGAGTGGCAGCTAGAAATTGGAAGAATCTAGCAATTTCTTGCATATCACCCATCCAAGTACAGACCCGGCTCAGCCCAGCTTAACTTTTAAGATTTAAGAGTATCATCACAAATAGTGTAGCAACCTGCACTTCATGTTCTGGTGAATGCCAATTTTTTATTGTGTCTCAAATTAAATATTGTTCTCTTTCCTAACCTAATATTAACTGAGATAATGAATTTATTCTGCATATTTGATTAATAAATCTTGTTGTTCACTTCAACAGAAGTCAGTATCTGATAACTGAGGTGTGATTCCACCTTTTGAAATAATCCATTAGAAGACCTACACAAAGTGTCTAGTTTCTGGGTCTAGTTGCTCTCCTCAGTTTGCTGGGAGATGCATAATAACCTGTGCAATTATCAGGCATTGTGCATACAAATCTGCACACATTAGGATAGAAATCTCACATACAGTTGGATGGTAACAGCCTAAAAAACTTTATTGTTAATATAGTATTCACAAATTATAGGAAAAGACTATTTGATCAGAGAAACAAGTATTTTAAATAGTAATGACATTCTTAAAACCTCACTTCTCAGTATGTGACAACTTACTTTCAGTTTCTTTACTCTTTGTTCCATTGTATGCATATTGGTTGCAGGCTTTGCTTTCTGTAATTCTTCCAGCTCTTCTTCAGTTTTATCCAGCCAAGCAGTAATATCACTGAGGTCAGAGTTCAGTTGTTGCCACTGCTGCAAATTCTGTTTCATTCTAAGTTTATTTCTTAGGTCCTGAGCTTGAATGAGCTCCCATCTCTCAATAACAGCTACAGTGATATACCAAGAAATGCTTTAACACACCAATGATGTGAATATTATTTAAAACAGAACAGAATATTATTTACAAACTATCAAGTTTAGTGTTTCTAAAGAACCCATTCTACAATCAGGTTCTGACCAGAGAGTCTCTTTCCTTGCGTGATGGGGTATATCAGTCCTGCTCTGGGCCAGAGGAGGTTAATCCCATGCTATGGTCTGAGGAAGCCATGCCCCCTCACCCATGCTGAGCATGCTCTAATTGGAACCACAGTATAAGAGGAAGCAGCTCAGCTCAGTCTAGGCTGACCATCGTTAATTGTACTGCAGGCTCCTGCTGGGAGAGTGCTGGAGTCACCAGATGCCAATGCCAGCCAGGTTGGTGCCTCTACCAAAGCCCAGCTGACTGCCAAGGCAGTATTGCCGAGGGATCCCCTGCATTGGAAGAAGGGTAGGAAACAATTCCCCAGTGAAGGAATGGTAGTGATGGGTGACTGAGAAGCGAGGTATCAGTTCCCTCGGGTCCTGGATCGGGACTTGGCAGAGAAGGGTAGGCCCGGGCCCCCTACCCCATCTGACCTACCGTGGACACCACCGACATGCAGGGAGGTGAACTGGGCCATACAGCCTTGGGAATAAAGGCGGCTACCTAGACTTTGGCAACTAGGCCCTATGTCCTGAACCCCAGGACAGCTTTACTGACTTAGGCCATTGGGCCATACTGCCCTGGGAAGGAAGGCGGCTACTTAGACTTCAGCTACTAGGCCTTACTGTCCTGAACCCCAGGCCTCCCTTAGTGACTCGGGCTGAGGGGCTATACTGCCCCAAGGGGCTGACAGGTATATCTGCCCTGCGACACCTTGTATAAAAATACCATAATAATAAAATTATTATAATGTACTACTTGTATCCTAAAAGGTCAGCTTTACAACCAGATATACAACCTATACAGGTTACCTGACACTACACAGGAATTGTTTCCACGGTAATTGAGGAATACATTATCAAGACAGAAATACAGAAGAAATATAGAGAGGTAGAATGTAATTATCCAGACTGAATTTGGCAAAAACAACAGGATTAACAACCATGGGATGAAAGTAAATACAAGTGACCAAGTTTTATGTATCATCTGAAAGAGGCATTTCCAGCAGCATAGTGCTACATAAAATCATGTTGGGGTATTGCTTCTGTGCTGACTGAAAAGAGTGTCAACCACTCAATCACCAACATCACTTCTCAGCACATAGGCCTGCCTTGGAGATCTCCCATCCACAGAGTGACCTGGCTTGATGCTGGTCAAAGTGTGCTGATGCAGTCACAGCATAAAATGGTTGGTATAGCTTCAATTTATCACTCTCACTCTACTGGAGGTTTATAATTATGGTACAGGGTATTGTAAGCTTAAGGGAGCCTGCTCAACTGTCTCTGTTCTTAGTATGGATCTGCTCTAACTTGAAAAATGTAGCAAAGATTACCAAGCCTTGGTTAATCAAGAGCTTATGTAAATGGGAGCTGTAATATACCATTTTTTCCTTGTGATTGGAGTATAAGTTACTGAGAAAACAAGTTAAACCAATCTTGATTTAGTCAAAGTAACATACTTCTTGGTTTCAGTAAAGAATTTTCACAGTCTGATTAAAAATCCCTTGAAGTGGCTAGAACCTCACTGAAATGAATGGGAACAATTTCACTTTTATCAGTAAGGAGACAAAAGTCAAGTATATGATGAGTCTGAAACTCTTGAGTCTAGTAGATAAAATATAAGGGCTGAGAATTCAGCAATAAACACAGGTCAAACAATGTCAAGTGAGAAGAAGGCTTAGCAAAATCTATCCTTTTGGAGAACAGTGGTACATCTTTTCTCAATGTAAGTGTACTGTCATGTTGTCTTTGCTTTGTTTACTTGTGAGTCACATAATAAACCATTTCATAATAGTCATTGTTCATTTTTTTTACACTGTTTATCTTTACCTGTACCTGACTGCTTCTCTGCAGCTGCAATGCTCACAAGCCCCTGTTCATTTTGGGGCTCTTCATCATTCAATATAGCAGATACTTCTTTCACACAGTCCGTGCTCCCACTGTTTGCAGACACTAGCTGTTTAACCTAGAATTATTTCATAGGTTTATTAAACTCACATGCTGTAAATGCCCATGAACCTTCAAGTTGCATGTACATTGGTATAAAAGGTAGCAGAGTGTAGGTTTTGAGAGTTACACTTAATAAAGGTGCAGCAGGCCAACACCATCTCTATGCAACAGCATTTTATGTATACCAGGTAAATATGCAAACAGTTACTAGTAGAAATACAGTAATGACCCAATCTGGTGAGAGGTTCAACTCCTCAAAGGTGTTTAGTCTCTTAACTTCTGTGATTTCAATGGAAGTTTAGGAACCTATATACCAACGAAGATCTGGGCCCTAGTGATTTATTGATAGAAATGAGTTGATTCTGAACCACTGTATAAAATCTAGTATCAGTGGCATTTCCATTCATTCCATCAGGTACTGAGACTTGGCAAGAGCTACTATAAGAAAAAATATGGCGATGGACTAATAACAAGCAACTCTAACAATAACCATTAATAGCCCAACCCCAGTGCTACCTCATTCCCATGAGAACTAGAGTATTGATGGCTATGGCCTAATCCCCCTGAAACAGTGAGCTGGCAGAGCAGGGACAACAAGCAATCCAGAAGGAGATGAAGGTAGAGCTGCGGCCAGTTTCACTACTGCTGGAAACCAACCACTAAAAGAATAAGCTCTCTTCTGGCTTCCCTACTGCCTTAGGCATAGTCACTCTGGCAATTCCCTCTTTGCCATCAGGGCAGCTTTTTGAATGACCAGAAATGGGAGGAGTAGCAGGCTGTGTCTAGGCAGACCCCCTTCCCCTCTTCCAGCCTGCATGCTGAGAAAGGATACTTTGAACCTAGAGTTTCTAGGGATTGTCCTGGAGTCTGCAGGAATTAAAGATTAATCTTTAATTGCTTAGAATTAATGTCCACAGATCTGGAACTCACATAGCCTGGCTTATATGGGGTACTTGTCTCTGGGCTGCCAGATTGCACATTTCTCACCATCTCTGCCTGGTGGTACTGATGTTTTCTGTAGGCTGGGCTCTCCGGGGAATGCCATGTAAGAGCTTCTGAAATGGATTTTCCTGCCACATAATAAAAAACCCTGAATCTGAGCCCCCGAACTCTGTAGTGAAGCATTTACTTTTTAAATAAATTAAGAAGTGTTCTGAAGAATATGGCACCAAGTGATGGCATCAAAATGACAGTTCTGCAGCTTTCCTTGCAAAGCATGCACATTTGCAAAATGTCAGCAGTAATCCAGGAGGTAATGAAATGACAGCCATGCAGTTATGGGACATTTTATTTTCTTCTGAAAATGTTTGGCTGCAGTATGATTTAAAATAAGAAAAGAAAAGTTTGCACCATAGTTTTGGGAAGTTCCTATTCCCATGATATGATCATTTTGCTGCAATGCATGACAAGTGAGTCAAGAATAGACCTGTCCTGACTGGAAGAGAACAGTGAATGCTCATTTGGGATTTAACTGATGGCATGCCCAAGGCTCTGTCACACACAATGTAAAATTATAAGCGATAGTTAAAGTGCTGCTTTTACTTGCAAAACTAAACTACTGTCTCAGTAAATAGGTGATTACAATCAACAAGGAAAAAAATAATACCCAGACCAAACCACCATGAAAGAGCTGAAAGATTTTGGATGAATATAATGAAATGCACATTAACCATCTCTGCATTTGACAGGAAAATTCTAAACGGCATGTCCTTGACTGCTTTGTAATGTACATGTGTTTCTACTGCAGCGTAAAAACACCATGACACAATGGCACATGGTGTCCACACAAGGCAGGAAATCAGACGTTACGTATGAAACAGGTTTAGGAGTATAACGTGCACCACAGGGAGATTGCCATGTTCAGACACATGCATTAGCAGGTGCCTACCAGAAGATGCTTTCAAAGTTTTTGTGGTCATTTTAAGATATGCCTCAGGATTTTCAGTGATTTCTACATCTGAAAGAGAATAACGTCATTTTCCTCACTGGACAAATATTTGATATTTACTGAATATTAAACAGAAACATCTGAAATATTGACTGAAAGGAAAAACTTCATTACTATTTTCATCAGACATTTTTAGAAAACAAGGAATTTGGGGGAGTCATTCAAAACTTTAAGTTTGGTTTCGACAAAACTATCCTTTTTGTCTAGACAATATCATGAAGAGTTAAATAACACTCACTTTTTTCTACCATTACAAATTAACCCCCCCCAAACAAACAAACAAACAAACAAACAAACAAACAGGTGCCACTTCAGGGATCCTGGAGGTGGCTCTAGTGAAACAAAAATGTTTGGGATTATTGGCTCTTACCCGAGAGAGCACTGTAGTATGTTCCTTCTTCTTCGTCCTCATGAGAGGAAGAGCCCCCTACATCACCTGTGTGATCCCATTCAAGTGGGATGGAGTCAACACTGACAGGGGTCTCACAGCCTGACCTTTCATGAGCTGGTGCAGGGGACACAAGATGGCAAAGGGACTGCTGGGAAGAAGGCACCTCATTTGTTGCCTTCTTATGCCAGGGAGCATTTTGCATTTCTCTTGAGTCTTCTGCATCTGTCTCATTTTCAGATGTATCTTTATCATCTTCTGTCCCCTAAAAATAATTGTTTTATGTTGTGATGAATGAACATAGATCTAGGTCACTTAATGAGTGATCCCCGAAGCAGCAGCACGTCCCCCCTCCGGCTCCTACACGGAGGCGCAGCCAAGCGGTTCTGCACACTGCCACACTGTCTGCAGGCGCCACCTCTGCAGCTCCCATTGGCTGTTGTTCCTGGCAAATGGGAGCTGCGGGGGCGGCACTTGGGGCGGGGGCAGCATGCGGAACCCCCTGGCTGCCCCTATGTGGGAAGGGGGACATGCTATGCTTTTGGGAGCCATGCGGAGAGAGGCAAGCCCCCGACCCCGCTCCCTGGCTGGAGCGGGGCAAGCCCCGGAACCCGCTCCCCAGCAGGAGCTCAAGGGCCAGATTAAAACATCTGGAGGGCCAGATGCAGCCCCCAAACCATAGTTTGCCCACCCCTGCATTAAAACCATGCTGCTACTCAGCTACTGCTATGCAATGAGTATTTCGTTTTCATACCAACACCCTGCCAAAGCACCAAGACCATACTTATCCCTTACAGGATGCCTGGAAGTCAATCTTTGGTGGAACCGAGAGACTCGTCCAAACACTTCCTGACAGTATCTATGCAGTTCCTCCAACTCATCTTCAATCAGGATAGCATCCAAAGGCTCACTCTTCTGAATCAGCTGCTCTCCAAAAACTATGAGCTGATCGATCTTATTGGTGTTTAGGGTTATTTCCTGTTGGAAACCCTATATTGAGCATACATAAGAAATGGTTACATAAGCAGTGTTTCTTTCTTGCTTGTGCTTGAGGCTGTCCTTCTGCTCTAGCACTGTAAAGGGAAAGGAATCTGAACACTGGTATAGCCATCTATCTTCTTTTGGCAGATAGCTTCCTAGCCACCATCTGTAAAGGTTTGGTTTTTGTTTTGCTGGTAAAAGTTGTATGGGTGAATTTAATGTGTGAATTTAGGTGCTGACTGAAATTTAGGTGCTGACTGAAAGTGAAGTGCTCCATCCATGCAACAAGATCAGCACAGGCAACAGTGATGCAAACTTGCCCACACTATCCGGTGGATGTACCACAATCCTGATCTGGATGGACCACCTCAAGCGTGTGAAAGAGTAGGCTATTCTTCATGCCTATGCAAAGTCTTCCAGCGAGTACCCCAGTACCAATGATGGTATTTGTGATGTAGGGATCTAGCCACTAAAACCTGAATGCATTCTATCTTTGCTATTGAAATAGATGGCAAAAACTTCTGGTCACCATTAGCTTGAACAAGTGACCTATAGGTAACTTGAACCATCAAGTCCCCCTTGCCACTAAGTCACCTTTTGAACTTTGCACAGAATAAAACCGAATACATGCTGTGGAATAAGAAGAATGTGTTACGGGGGAAAGGACAAGAGTACTGCTAAAAGGAATATCAACTTAATTATTCATGTAGCAAAGAATTAATACCTTCCTGAAGGAATGTCACAAAAGCTAGTACACATGTACGTGATTGAAATTTTCAAAGAATATACCTCCCAAATATGCTACATTATACAAATATCATTATACAAATATGCTTACATTATATTAAAAATCCTAATTGGAGATAATAATAATATTACAGAACTGGACCTGTCTTCAAGTTGGCTAACACCTTCTAAACTTTGATTTTAGGTCTATAGCTGTTTAGTGATTGCTGTTTACATTTACCCAGATTTAAGCTATCCTTCAAGTTTAATATAACTGTCATTGACACTAAGTTGTAAGGGGGGATGGAAAAATAGAATTGAAGACTCTGAATACTGAACTTACATTTTACAGAAAGTATTTTTTATGTTGAATTGTACAATTATTTTTTTAAAGTTTACTGATCCTATAACAAATATGATCTGATGGACATAATGTATGCTGTCATGAAACGAGCCCATAGATAACTGGCAGGCATTGTCAAGAGACTACAGACTGACATCATCTTTGTTCTGTAAAACAGCTATTTTGAATGATACATACGTTTAATTGCCGCATTTTGTCATCAAAGTTACTCTCTGAGAAGTGTTCCACATTTGTCAGCTGAAGGTCCATTTCTGTGAGCCACACAAGAATGCTTTCCCTTGTTCCCTCAAACTCATCTCTCTGGTTGGTGAAGTACTGAATAAGAAAAGGGCAGCTGTACATTATTAGTTTAGTTACTGAATAAAGATTGTCATAGGAGCATTTTAAAACCTGCATTTTCTTTCAGAATTGCTGTTCATTTTAAATAGACGTGTGTGTAAGGCCTTGTCTACACACCAGAATTAGTCTAAGTTGGGTATACTTAAAGCAGTACAACCCCCGCTAGCACGGACACTGTTATACTGATATAAAGGTGTTTATGCCACATAGGAAGGGGAATGAGGTATATGAGTATAAAGCACCTTTATACCAGTATAACTACACCCACACTATGGGGGAAGTGGGGGTGTCCTGGTATAACTATACTTGTGAAAAAAAAAATCCACACCCCTAATCCACATAGTTCTACCAGTACAAAAACCGTATTTAGACCAGGCCTTAGCTGTTTTTGCTGCTCTAACTTTAGCAGCTAGTTTAGATAAAGGAAAAAAGTCCCATCTCTAATTAAAATTAGATCATCAAAATTAGCAAAATGATTGATTAGCTGGAATGTGGAAATACACTCAAGTGTAATTATCATGCCATTTGGTGTTAAAGCCATTTGTATAAATTTGTTCTACTTCCTGCTGTCTCCCACCCAGGTGGAGATCAGAAGAGGAGCTTTCTCCATCACAGACTGCTAAGCAGTTCCCAAACAATAAATATACTGAAAAGAGATTAGGTAAAAGAGTGAAAATGACACCTTCTAACTGCAGGTTTGCTCCCTTTGCGTGGTTACAGTCAGATCTGCTGATTTTGGGGAATTTATTTTTCTTCCTGCCACTTCCTGGGAACTTGCTATATCATAAATTGGGCTGTGACTAGCTTTTCCAGGCCACAGCACAGGTACTTGAGCCCTGAAGTCAATTTAACCAGCTCAGAGAGGATCACCTAAGTATTAGAACGAGCCTCTTCTTCGTGTCCCAATACTCTTTTGCCACTCCCCTCTACTGTGGCTCACGTTGCAGGAGAAGGAGGTCTGGCTGAAGAAAGTGGTGTGGCCAGTATGCCCCTTTACCATACCTTGTACATTTTCAACCCTTTGGGCCTGTCACAAACGAGCATAAATTACAGCGGCCTTGTACAACACTACACCAGGATCTAGGGAGAGAACTTCTTTTTTGCACCCCAGCCCCAAGTTGCCCTCTGTGCAATTCAGCTGACCTCAGGACCTTGCCCTCTAAATTCAGAAAGGCACAAAGAGTTTTAATCAGTATTGGAACAGACAGGTGCAATTCCAATTAAGTCAGTAGAGATGCACCTACTTACTCCAGTGCTGAAATTACCCCAATAGTAGGTGTGACAGAGTTCAAAGCAAAAAGGGATGTGGTTAAGATAGGGAGGTGTATTCTGTGTAAAATGGGCTTATGCTTTAGCCCATAAAAAGCCCTATTTATGAAACAGCAGGCCCCCAGCAAGCCTATATTCTGTGCAGCAGCCCCTGGAGCCTTGTTTAGTATCAGGATTGCCACGCAGCATAAGTCACCTGAGGACTGGTTCAGAAGGCAAAGGAAGAAGTCAAAGTAAAGTGTCTCAAACTCTGGCAGACATTAAGCGGAGTGCATCATGTACCATGAACACAGCCACAGAATGGTGCTGGGTCAGAGGAGAGGCAGAACAGGAGCAGCATTACCTGGGGGAGGGGTGAAAGACATGCTCTCCAAAACTTTGCCTATTATTCACCTACTCTTCACCTTCCAGCAGCACTGGTTAATGTCAATCTATTTGTTAAGGACAAATGCCACCAAATGGCCTCCCTATGAGGTGCCCTCACACACTGATTGGTAACTTACACACCTTGCTGCATTAACCTCTGGTTACACTTTACTGAAACATACAAAAGGAAGTATTTCTTCACACAATGCACAGTCAACCTGTGGCACTCTTTGCCAGAGGATGTTGTGAAGGCCAAGAGTAGGGTTAAAAAAAGAACTATCTAAATTCATGGGGGATAGGTCCATCAATGGCTATTAGCCAAGATGGGCAGGGATGGTGTCCCTAGCCTCTGTTTGCCACAAGCTGGAATGGGCGACGGGATGGATCACTGGATGATGACCTGTTCTGTTCATTCCCTCTGGGGCATCTGGCACTGGCTATTGTCGGCAGACAGGACACTGGGCTGGATGGACCTTTGGTCTGACTCAGTCTGGCCGTTCTTATGTTCTGTTCTTATGACTGCAGAATCCCAGTATGGATTGACAGATTTTCTTGGGATAACTTTATCCACGTCTCCATAGTTAGTTCTAGTTAAGAACAAAGGTCAGTTTCTTGTACCTGACTCCTGTGCCAAGCCCTCTCCTCCCAGCCCTGGTTGCAGGAGTGTCAGAGGTGGGGTAGATTGTGCCAGGAGCACAGCTGTCCCTAGGGAACCACTGTCACCATGGGTAGATTAGAACAGCCCCCAGGCTGCCCTAACCCTGTGCTGGAGCAAGAACACATTCACCCTGAAAATCAGGGAGCTATAACAGGCTGCCTGATGGCATCCCTTATCTTCTGTTGCACTAAGTGGAAACCTGGCGCAGGAGAGAACTTGGGGCAAATGTTTAACCTCACCTTGAGCTGTCTTTGATTTTGCTGGTTTGTGTTCCAGCCTGATTGTTCCTTATGTAAACTTTGGGGTTTGCATTTATAAATGAAAAATCTAACTGTGCAGATGATGAGCATTCTCATAACAACTTTGCACTTATGTAGTGTTATTTCTACATGGGCCTCACAGGGCTTTACACTAACCCTCACAACACCCTGCAATTACCTTCAGTCTTCTTAGAATGGCAGCAACCCGTTTCTGGAGATTGTCCCAGCGCTGGTTGCCTTCATGTACCATCTGTTTCAGCTTGCTGGCTGAATCTGTACGATTCTCGCGGGCAAGCCGCCTATATTGTTTATTGATTAGCTCCAGCTGAGTGAGTCGCTCATGAATTTGTCTTTGAAATGCCTGTAATGCAAATTTAGTAATCTTATTCCTTTGCACTTCAGAGAAAAGATCGACAAAATACTGCAATCATGGAACAGAAAAATTGGATTCTCACGATCAATCAAAACCCTGATTATGTTTTATCACCACAACCTGCCCTCAGATGTGTGTTCATAGCTCCCACTGAAGTCACAGGATGTGAGAGCACATATGCAATTTGTCCTACTTACAGAATTTAGTCTATTACAGTTTCTTGTCCAATTGGAAATAAATGATCACATCTAAAATACATTTAGTATATAATAGCTTGCAATCTCTTAGATTTTTATAAGCAAAACAAACAGCTGAGTTACATGAGCAAATAAAATGTAGCTTTTAATAATCTACTATTAAGGACTGTTTCAAGGATTATCAACTTCTTGGAGAAAATGTGTCTAAAAGCAGTTCAACCACTCGCCCCAGGAACTAATACCAGGGTACAGTCTATTTGTTAGAGCCAGAGAAGACTAAGCAATTGCTTAGAGCCCCAAGCTGCTCAATTAATTATTAGCATGTGTTGGGGGCCCCAAAATATTCCTGCTTAGGCCCCCCAGTGGGCGAGTACCACCTCTGGTTAGAGCAAATAAGTATCAGGAATGTTGGGTTCTGTTCCCAGCTCTGTCACTGACTTGCTGCCTAATGCTGGGGAAGTTATTTAACCTCTCTGTCCCTCTGTTTGCCTATCTGAAAGATGGGTATAATTGTATTCCCGTATCTCGGAGAGGAGCTGTGAAGTCTGCAAAGAGCTTTGAGAAGCTCAGATGAAAGGTTCTTTATATGTGCAAGAATTAGTATTCTTGATAAGCACACATGATGTCTGTGAAACATCAATAGCTGAAATAAAAAGTGTTCACCTCAAACTTCTTCAGCTCCTCTTTGGCATTTGTGTATAAAACTTCGGAAGAGTTGGGATAAGCTGCTGTCCTTTCGGCCGATTTCAACCAGTCTTCAAAGCGAGAATAATCATCCAAAAACTTCTGCCACAGGCGCCAGGTTTCCTCAATTCTGAGGTGGAGGGTGAGATGGAAGAAAGGCTCTGGTTTATCACAAACTTGCCAATCATGTCTCTACAATTTTTGCTTTTCTCTTCAAAATTTGGTTCATGTAGAATGTAAAAAATTCCCTGAAATATTGCACAGTTACATACACGTCCTAGAAGTGTCAGAAAAGGACTCACTTCATTCGCCTCTCCATAGACATGGAACAAATGTTTCTCCACCGTCTGTCCAGACTCCTGGTAGTCTGCTGGATGGAGTCACATTCTGTCTCATTAGCACATGCATCTGAATCGCTCAGCAACTTGTCACAGATATTAAACACAGATTCTACCCCTTCACTGTGCTGCTCAATGTCTCGTTGCAGATCCTGTGATTAGGAAATAAAGAGTTCAATTAACAAGCAATTAAACATATACATTCCCTTGTAATAGGTTGTAATGGACAGAGAAGAGTGATCGCCAGCTCAGTAAATGCAATTTTAGTTTTAATGAAGGGACTTATAGAATGTGTTGAACAAATGATAAACAAAGAAGAGATCAGAGAGCTGTCATGAGAAAGTGCATTCTTCCCCACTTAATTTCTCAGTGAAAGTCCAATATCTGCATTAATAATTTGACAAGTATAATACACATTCAAAATCCAAACCACACATTCTACGTTGTAAAAATGTGAAGACAAATGTATTTGTTTTTACAATATCAGACAGCATCTTCTTCTTGGTTTATTCCACTATAAACTCTAGCGGTGAATAAACAGGATAATTCATAACCTCAGTGAATGCAAGAGCATAATTCACGTCACTCTGGTAATATCACAAACTGCAGAAGAGTGGTAAACACCAAAGAGTCACATCTGCAATTTTTCAGTTCCTCCCTCTGGGATCATCTGCTCCATGGTATCATTTAAAAATGAAAAGCAAAGTTCTCTTGTCCAATCTGCACTATGTATTTCTTCTCCAGAGTCTGTACTTCCATTGTATATGTGGCACTTATCTCCTATTGAGACCAATGCAATAAATGCAGAATGTGCAACAGAGCTCCAAAGTGCTGTGTCAGAGAAGTAAACATCATCTGAAATGCTATTAAAAAGCCACCCCATGCAACCCTAGGGACTTGGGAAATACCATTTAATATTAACCACATTTACATTTTTATGACCTGTTCCTTGCTTCACTACTGAGGATGCAATAACTCAGCAGGAACTTTATTGCAACACAAGCAAACAATGTCAGTGGGAAATCCCATTAAACGGTAATGCCAATTCCACCAGCACTCCTGAACAAGAAATCCACGGCTGATTTTGTTCTTGATTTTACAGCCCAGGGAGAACCCACAGGAATAGAGAAGAACACAAGGACTTAAAGGAAGATGCTCTCAGGAATTAATAGAAGATGAATAGTATAACTTCAGAATGTTAGCACAAAAGGAGCAAAACCTCACTGGCTGATCTAAGTGAGAGTAGCATATGTACTTGAAAGCAGAACTAAGCCATAAATGACTAAAGTTAAAGTATATACAGTATTTTACATAAAAAGAAATATCCTTGGAGTTAATGAAAAGCTGCTGCTATTGATAATGATTTATGACATCATCTGTATCACTCACAGAGGTTTCTTTCTGAGGATGTTAGAATACCAACTAATGCCAGAGTTTTGTATGTATCTTGCTAAAATTCAAATCTGTCTAATTTGTTATGTAACCACATAGAGAAGAATGTCAAATGTGACTTGAACCTCTTGGGCCAGATTCTGGTGCCCTTAATCACACTGCCTGTGAGTTACTCCTTGAGAAGAACCATTGATTTCAATGGGACTATTCACAGAGGGCTAGACTATGACTTTAGGCAAGGGGGGTGATACACAAGCTGGGCTATCCCAGTAGTAGCATTGTGCTGAGTTACCACTTTGAGTAACAATTTTACCCTGATTCCTCCTTGCCACTGCGGGTGCAGTAATCTGTGGTTGGCCTATACCAGCGGTTTATTACTCTCCTCTCACTCCCCCAGTGGCTCAGCTTCTGTGAGTGGAGGGTGGGGAAGTGGAGGCAAGGCTCTGTCCTGTCCCTAATCTCCCACTCCATAGAGGGAGTAAGCAGACAATTAGCCTTACTTATTCCTATCCACCTGGACCAAGAGCAAGGTAGAGGTGTAAGGAGTGGTGGTGGGGTCTTACTCCTCTGCAGCGTGAATCACCATCTAGCCCAGAGTAACAGACTGCTCAGTGCCACAAGTATTCCTCGTTCTTAAAATCTAACCCATGTTTTTCTGACTGACTGCAATGTGTATTGTTACAGTCTTCCTGTTCGCGGATAGCTCAGCTGTTCTTTGGTTCTCTGTTACTTTTGCCTGGTGCTTCTGGAAAGTAAGAGCAGTAATCCTTATACAGATGCTAAAAGCAGATCCAGCACAGGATTTAAATAGGTTACTATGGATTCTAGGCTGTTCTCTCTATGCAAGAAGAGGCCTTGTCTTTTGAATCTGTGGCCTGTACATAGGAACAGATTCCACTCTCTGTTACGCTGCTGTAAATCTGCAACTGACTTCAGTGATGTTACTCTGGACTTACTTACATTGGTGTAACCGTGATCAGAATCTTACCCACAGAGTACAAAAACTATTCTATTAATGCAAAAGTGGCTTGCTGATACTACCAAAGTATTGTTATTATCCGTTATGTTTGGGTTCATATAATAACTTCAGTCAGAATCCTTGTTGATATCACAACTGCTTAATTAAAATGATGTTAACTCTCATTAGAGTGGCAAGACAAACAAACTAAAATATACTAAGTGAGGCAGAAAACATGCATACAGAACAAAAACTCCTCACTTCATTGCTCAAAGTTTATTACACTTAATTATTTAACTGGCCCTACAATGCTGGACTACTCCTTCAATACTGAGACATCTTTAATTTGTATTTTAAATCTTAAACAGAATGCCTTATGTTGCAATCTTCAACCTGTAGATGAATGAAACGTTATAAAAGCATCTCCACCTGCAAACAATTACCCAAAGTTTTAGAATTAACAGTTATTCAAGACAGCATACATAACACCTTTGTGATCATGGATGTCAAACATAAAACAATCTAGTAAGACATATTCCTCACCATTAGGCTGTATCCATCAAAATATTTTTTGAAATAAAACCAAGGAAGATCTTTTCAAACCCCTATGTGAATGCAACAAGTAAAGCTTAGTGAAAGGCTTTCTGCTTTGAAGTCTTTAGAGTGAGCACTACCTTGCCATATCCAGTTTGTTTAAAGGTTACAGCAGGAGGAGGTTAGGGGTGTCCCAGACTTCTTTGTTTAAAATGAAATCCAAGCAACCAAATAGTAGTTTATTCTATAGGACTCTGAAGAGTAAATAATGTATCTTTGCCGCTGAAGTCGGAATGGCCATAGTAAAAATAAATTAGTTTGGACACAATTCTTTTGTGTCCCAAGTCTTTGTTTTCTGCTCCCAGGAGGAGTTATCTTGGGTGTCAGCCGGGCATAATTTATAACAGCCTATGGAAGCTAAGAGGTTTTAATGAGGGGAAAATAATTACTTGTTATTTACAGAACCCTTACCATTGCAGATTAAACTATTAAACACTGGGAGCCAAAGGCCACCCTTGCTCCTGTCTGCATGCACAGCTCCTCCTACTGAAGTCAATGGGAGCCATGCCCACTACCCCTGCAAAGCGTGAGTCTGACCCTGACTGTAACGCCTCCTGAAGTGCTGTGTTGAGCTCTGTGGAAAGGAAGCTCAAATAATTCCACAGGGAACGGAGCTCTTATATCTGGATTAGTCAAGGTAGTTTCTCTCAGACAAAGGGACAGCCAGTGGGGTGGGGAGGAAGCGCTTAAGCAGCCATGCATGTTGTTTGCAGGCAGACCTATAAGCCTCCACTTTTGGAAAGTTTAGCCCTAAAAGTTTTAGGATAAACTATAAATGCCCCTATTATGGCGACGGTCAGAGTTAAGTCGTAGGACCTGTTGTCCCACAGCGGCAGGTATTTTTAATCTGTTTGTGCAGACACTTCAGCCTAGATTGTGCCTTTACGCACAGCCCCAACCAAGGGGTGATGATGCATAAATTGCACTGCTCCTCAGAGACACTCCTCTGAGCCACAGTTCCCTCCCTGCTTCTCCCATGCATGAGTGGGTGAGTGAAATAATGCCACCCCTGCCCTGCCTCCCAAAATCAGCTCAGCTGAACTAGCTGCTTTGTTAAGGCCCTGCCAATTCCCGTGAGGAATTCCTGCCTATCTGCCCTGGGAGAAGCAAGCAGGTATGGGTCAAGGACCTCAGTGCAGAGAGGTTCACTCTATCCCTCGCTCCTGTGCATGGGCACAGACTGAGGGCTCGTCTACACTGGATATGGTAAGCGTGCCGTGGCAGCACTTGATCATGGCTTTGTGGTCACGGCAGAGCGGTGGGAGAGAGCTCTCCCAGTGCTCTAAAAAACCCCACCTCCACCAGGGGCGTAGCTCCCAGCGCTGGGGCATTGTCTACACTGGCGCTTTACAGCGCCGAAACTTGCTGCGCTCAGGGGGATGTTGTTTTCACACGCCTGAGCGAGAAAGTTGCAGTGCTGTACATTGCCAGTGTAGACAAGCCCAACATCACTGTCTAGCCCTGAAGCATCTGCTGTCTTGAACCGAGCAAAGCCTTATCCAAAGGGGAAGAAGATAAGAGAACAAACAACACGACAGAGGTGTAGTCACATTGCTTAATGCACTACTGGAAGGTGGGAAAGGATTTTATGAATGTCTTTGTTTCTACAATATTTAAATTTCAAAAACATTCTCTAAGTGTTAAATCCCTATAAAGTGTCTCACAAACACTTTGTTAAGTGCAGTGTATAGTAGCCAGGTCGGTCTCAGGATATTAGAGAGACAAGGTGGGTAAGGTAATATCTTTACCGGAACAACATCTGCTGATGAGCGAGACAAGCTTTTGAGCCACAAAGGGCTCTTCTTCAGGTCTGAGAAAGGTACTCGCAGTGTCACAGCAAAATGCAAAGTGGAACAGATTGTTTAGCATAAATAACACATCCTGTAAGAGACCAGTCAAGGTAGAGTGACCCATTAATACCACTCCAGTCATAGGACAAAAAGAGGGCGTTAGTGGGTTACAGCTTGTTGTAATAAGCCATACCTCCAGTGTCTCTGTTCAAGCCATGATTTTTAGTGTCAATGAATTTACGCTCCCAGGCTCATCTTTTGAAGTGCAGGTTTCCTTTGAGGATGAGGACTGAGAGGTCAGGTATAGAGTGATCGCTTTGTGAAAAGTGCTCACCCACAGGTGATAGGGTGTTTTTGATGTTTTTTCACCCAGAAAAACGATAAAAGACAAAAAAATAACTCACCCGCGCAACCATTTCAAAAGATTAGCCTAGGAGCTTAAATTCATTACTTTGCTAGACACTAAAAACCATGGACTGAACGGACACTGTTCAGACAAGAGATACCTTGAGTGGTCCCTTACAATGTGTGCTATTCATGCTAAACAATCTGTTCCACCTTGCATTTTGCTGTAACACTGGGAGTACCATTCCCAGAACTGAAGAAGAGCTTTGTGGCTTGAAAGCTTTTCTCTCTCTCACCAATAGAAGCTGGTCTAATAAAAGATATTACCTCACCTACCTTGTCTCACTTTGGGAGAAAACACAATGGCTCAAAATGTGAACAACAGAAAAGTCTGTCAAGGAAAGGAAATGAGTGATTTTAAACACAGGACTGATCATAATCAGCATCACTTTAAGCCCATTTATTTCAGATGCTATGATTTTCCCACCTGCTGCTCAGCAAGTCTTTTCTGGATCTCTTGATCATCACAGATGTCATACACAACAGGCTTGGAAAGCTCAGCCTCAATGCGAGCCAACCAGGTGCGAAGGGTACTCATATTTTTGTCTAATGTCTGTATGACAGCAAAGGTCCCTTCCAGTTTCTTCAGCCTAGGGATATTGGAAAGAAAACAGGTTGTTATAAAGACATTTAACAATGGAAGCAGTATTAGCAGAGGCTCTGGAAATGAAGAAAGTATGATTTATACATTATTCTTATCTCCAAACTGACCTGCCTTCTGCAGATTAGAGACACATTTTAATTATAACCTACCCAAATTGGCATAGCAGATGCCTCCACAGCTGCAGAAGGTCCTAAGTGAGTCATTTTAGGAGATGCTGTGAACAGGGAGTGGCCGTCCTAGCCTCTTTCAAGTGCTAGTGGGTTCCTTAGTCATTTCCCTAAGGATTTGTATACAGAAAACTTGCCCCAGTGTACATTTTTTGTATTTGAGACAATCTAGTCACCCCCATCTTCCCGGGGTGCAGTGTGACTCCACGTTGCCCCAAAATGCTGGGCTGTGCATACCAGGTAGGAACTGCTCCTTAGTCTTTGAGCTGCATGCTCCACTGCTTGCACAAGTGAAGCCATTTACACCCATGCAAAATGGGTCTAAACACTACTGGGTCAATTCGGATCTCTCCTCTCATTTACACTGGTAGTGTTTTACAACTACTTGGTACAAGTATACGTGAGGCCAGGCAGTGGAAAAATGATTATTTTCCCTAGTTTTCTTGGTTGGGCTCTTTCTCAAGCTACTCTCACATGTGAATTACAGTTCAACCTTGGAGGACAGGCACCCTGCCAGCAGATTTTGATCCTTCTAGGAAAATATTAAGTGGGTTGTGCTGCCCCACTGAGGGAGATGGTTCGCTACACCAGCTCTATACCTGAGGGGTGGGAGTTGTTTTCTAGAGAGAGAGATGGAAGAAGTAGCTCATGGGTTGAGCAGTTTGAAGAGAGGAATCTCAGAACAGCCATGCCTAGGGAAAAGGTTTGAACTGAATATATGTGTTGTTTTAGTGTTAATTTCTGTGTTAATAAAGCCAAACCCCAGGAAAAGGGGTGAGTTTGGACATTGCACTGTGTGTGGACTATGCCTCTGCTCTTCTATTTTCAGCAGATCTGAGGGTTAGGGAACACATCTCTATGGCTTCCCTAAACAGGCCATCTATACTTTTGTCGCCATAGAAATGGGATATTTTGGCCACATGGACTTTGCTGGTTTATGCAGAAGGGTGCAACAGAATCCTCTAACATACATGAAACAGAGGTGAAGCTAGCATAATAAATCTAAATTGAGAAACTTAAATAAGTTACTATGAAGAGAGAGAGAGAGACTGACCACAAAAGAGACAAGTCTGAGGAAAAGGTCCAGCTCTGATTTGCAAGGACAGCAGAGACTGTGGGCCAGATCCATCCCTGGTATACTCCCTCTGTAGTCAATGAAGTTACATCAGGAAGGAATCTGGCTCTGGCTCTCTCTTGCCCAGATGCGTTAACTTTATTTCTACCCACTCCCACTTTAGCATCTAAAATAGGCCAAAGTCACAGGTAGTATATCCATTTGTCTGTTCCAGGATGGTGACTCCTGTGTACCTGTTTTGTATGGGTAAATTTACAATTCCTGATTGATGATTTCCATGGGAAAGACAGGACTGCTACTCTGCAGTGGCAGCTATTGCCCTGCTTCAACAATGTTTTGGAAATGCTTTTTCAGATACGACAAGGGAGCTTGATATTATATTGCAGCAAATGGCTCTAGTCCAACTGGATATAAGAATGGCCATACTGAGTCATCTAGCCCAGTATCCTGTCTTCTGACAGTGGCCAATGCCAGGTGCTTCAGAGGAAATGAACAGAACAGGTAATCATCAAGTGATCCATCCCGTGTCATCCACTCCCAGGTTCTGGCAAAAAGAGGCTAGGAACACTGAGAACATGGTGTTGCATCCCTGCTCCTGCTGGCTAATAGCCACAGATGGACCTGTCCTCCAGGAACTTATCTAGTTCTTTTTTGAACCCTGTAATAGTTTTGGCCTTCACAACATCCTCTGGCAAAGAATTCCACAGGTTGATTGTGTGTTGTGTGAAGATGTGCTTCCTTTTGTTTGTTTTAAACCTGCTGCCTATTACTTTCATTGGGTGACCCATAGTTCTTGTGTTACGTGAAGGAGTGAATAATATTTCCTTATTCACTTTCTCCACACCAGACAAGATTTTATAAACCTTTATCATATCCACCCTTTGTCATCTCTTTTCCAAGTTGAAAAGTCCCAGTCTTTTTAATCTCTCCTCATACAGAAGCTGTTCCATACCTCTAATAATTTGTATTGCCCTTTCTGAACCTTTTCCAATTCCAATATATCTTTTTTGAGATGGGGTGACCAGAACTGCACTCAGTATTCAAGGTATTGGGGTACCATGGATTTATATAGAGGCAATATGATATTTTCTGTCTTATTATCAATCCCTTTCCTAATCGTTCCTAACATTCTGTTAGCTTTTTTGACGGCCACTGCACATTGAGTGGGATATAAGTGATCCATCCCCTGTCATCCGCTACCTGTCGGCTATGATTTCAGGCAACTACCCACAAAGAACCCAAGACCTCTTTCTTAAGTGGTAACAGATAATATAGATCCCATCGTTTTATACGTATAGTTGGGATTATGTTTTCCAATGTGCATTACTTTGCATTTATCACCATTGAGTTTCATCTGCCATTTCGTTGCCTAGTCACCCAGTTTTGGGAAATCCTTTTGTAATTCTTTGCAGTCTGCTTTGGACTTAACTATCTTGAGTAATCTTGTATCGTCTGCAAATTTTGCCACCTCAAAGTTTACCCCTTTTTCCAGCTGATGCATGAATATGTTGAACAGCACTGGTCCGAGTACAGACCCCTGGCGGACACCACAATTTTCCACTCTTCGCTTTTCAAATCACCTTGCGTATCTACAAAATCACTGTGTACTGTACAAACAGAATACCATAAAGTGCTCAGAGCTTTGCATTCGGACAACACGTGAGGGCTGGTTGATGGGATCCAGGCCTCAGACTGGCACCGTTCATTCACACCACATTCATGCTAAAGGTGCAATTCTGCAAACACTCTCCGGGTTAGCGCTCGCTACCATGACGTCAGTGGACGTCAATATTAGTAGTACACCTAGTATTATTATTACTATTTGTATTCCTTTAGCACCAAGGGGCTCCCATCATGGACCTCAGCCCCCTGGTGCTAGATGCTGTGTAAACAGAACAAAAATATTCAGTCCCTGCCCCAAAGAGCTCACAATCTAAGTATAACATCAGAGACAACAGGGGAATGCAGAGACACAGATGGGGGAGCACAAGTAATAATGAAAGCTGCAAGTCTGTCATGGAGGTCACGGATTCTGTGACTTTCCGGGACACTCCATGACTTCCGCAGCTGCTGGTGCGCCTGACCCCAGGGCTGCCCGAGCAGCTGGCCTGGGGTAAGCAGCAGGGGCCGCCCCTGAGGCCAGCTGCTTGGGCAGTTGCTGGGACGGACCCCGGGACCAGCCACTCGGGGAGCTGCTCGGGTTGTCCCAGGGCCAGCCACATTGGCCACTGCAGGAGCAGCCCCAGCAGCTGGCCCTGGAGTCGCTGGAGCTGCAGCGGTCCCGGAGCAGCAGCGGTCCCAGGGGCCACCCTGGAGGCCATCAGAGCAGCGGTCCCCAGGGCCTCAGAGCAGCTGAGGGAAGTCAGCCCCCACCACCAGTGCAGGGGCTAGCTGTCAGTGCCAGGGGCATCCCAGAGCAGCGGTGCCTCAGAGCCACCCGGAGCACCCTAGAGTCTCAGGAGCTGCTAAGTTTTAGTCAGGGGTATTTATAGTAAAAGACATGGACAGGTCACAGGCCATGAATTTTTGTTTATTGCCCATGACCTGTCCATGACTTTTACTAAAAATTGTAAATTTGTTTATTGCCCTGACTAAAACTTGGCCCTAGTAATAAGTAAGTGTTTGCATGGCTGCAACTTTGACAAATAAACAAAGATAAGGAAAAACAGGAAGGAAGTAATTTTACAATGAAGTGATTTTTAAAAGGAAAAGATTTTACAATGAGGAAAGCAAATACAGCTGTTTGTCTTAGAAACGTCCCCAATTCAGGATATAAATATTGCTCTCAATATGTTTCTTGTAGTAGAAAATGTTTGTTAGGATTGCCAGCAACTATAGCACAATAGAAACAACCATTGTGGCACTATTAGTATGTGTTTACTTTGTAACACAATTATCATCAGAGAGACCTGCCAATCTAATTAACTAATCTGTTACATATGCCAGCTAGAATATGTCTTTCATCCCAGCCTTAATGCTCTGGGTCATTAATCTCAATCTTGAGAACTAAAACCTAAGATAAATGGACAGGTGATAATAATAAATGCCTTTCAGAAATCAGTGCTGGTACAATATCACAATATGGGAACAAACTACTGTCTTGAATAAACACACAGACGGGTAAATTCTTAGTGAAGTCAACCAGCACTGGGCATGTGGCTCAAGGTTAGTATATTCTAATTCTGTTCTATATAGGTTTGTATTCCGTGCGCGACACTGCAGTATGTGAGTGCCTTCCAGTAGCGCATTAGGTGACTAACATCTGTCACGTGTTGTTTGTTCTCTCATCGTCTCCCTAGAGGAAGAAGCATGCACAGTGGAGAGTTTTGTTTTGGAAGGGAGGGATTTTTTTGGGAGGGGTGGAGGAGGGGAGTTAATATAAATGTTGTTATGTATTTGTTAGAGCAGGGAGATCAAAGAAACACGCTTTGCACTTGGAGGAGATGGTGGTGAGGTTTGTGATGGTCCTTAGTTCCTGGGGGAGTTCAGTCCACAGTCTCAGAACTAGCCCCTGAAAAAGTTCTGTCTCCCGCACAGACAAGCTTTAACCTGGTTGTAGAGAGTTTCATTGTGACAGAGGAACGAAGTTGCCAGGTAGCCATAAAAAAATCCTGAAAGGTGCTGAAAGCCTCCTGAGAAATGCTGGGTGCCCTCAACTCCCACTGATGTCAAAGAGAAGTGGAAGCATTCCCTCAGGAATCGACCCAGGGGAATATTGGAACAAAGAATCCAAGACCCTTTGAC